TCCATCCATCTATACATACATACATACATACATACATACATACATACATACATACATACATACATACATACATACATACATACATACATACATACATACATACATACATACATACTCTGCCTTTCCCCTTAAAAGGACCAAAGGCGGCTGCATTTTGAGCTGAAGGTCTGATTCTGATCAGCTACATGCCTGGTAGGGGAACGGGAGACCCTTCCCTGGTCTAAATTACCCCAAGAGAAAGCAACTCCATTTTTGGGGGGGCTGAGTCCTTGGAGATGGAAATAAGGTCACAGTGGCCCATATTCCACAATTCGGAGCTCCAGGCCTGCAAGCTGTGTTGTTTGAGGCCATATGACGAGGGATCCCCGGCTCTCCCCACACGGATGGGGTGGCGGTGTGACGCACGCCTCCCACTGCCCACCCCGAATCATGCCAGGATTGGGGCCTCTCCTTTTTGATTCTTTGCGGAGAGAGCTGCCCCCCCCTGCTTCAGAGGTTTGGGGTTACAAGGGAAGGGGAGTTTCAAGGTGGGAGCGTGGGGCGTGGGGCCGTCTTTCGCCATATTGACAGGCTGCCTCTTTGGGGTTACATGTGTGTTATCCACAGGCGGTGCACGGAGCCAGAGGTTTAAAAGGAGAAAAAGGGGAGCCCGCCGTCTTCGAACCTGTAAGTCTTCCGATGTGGGTGGAATGGGGGGGGAGTGGGAGGTGGGTTTCCTGGGAAAAGATTTCCAGCCAAGCCCGTGGGCTGGGAGGTGGAGCTGAGAAGTTGGGCCACTCGTGCTTCTGAGCGAAACACTACAAGTTTTAAAAGGTATAAAGCAAAATGAAACTGGACCCCCAAAATTCTCCACCTCTCTCAGCCTGAAGTTTGCCCCTTAATGTTGTGTATTTACTTCTGCATTTCAGTAGCTTGCTTAATCCTGCCTTTTCTTGTTACACTCCTGGAGGGGGGGAAAAGTTGGTTGGATTCTGCCTCCCCCTCCCCAAACTTTGGAGATTTTAAACAGGCTTTGTTTTCCTCACAGACCCCTTGTCACACTTAAGGAGGTCATGCCTCTTGCTTGCCCATTAACGAAAAAAAAAAGAGAGAAAGATTTTATTGGCTATATTCCCTTTTGTTTCTTCCCTGCATGCCTTTGGGAACGACCTCCTGCAAAATAGCATCCTTCATCCCCCAGAAGATTAGGGAGGGGTCCGTTTGGCTACCCTTTTATTTGAGAGCGGCTACAAGGATGGAGCCCAAGGGCCTCTTAGTCCCATATTGGACCACTTTCTAGGGAATCACAGTAACCTGGGGATTTATAGCAGCATCTGCCCGGCTAGCTAGCTCACCTCTCCTTGGGGTGGGGGGCCTTCTCCTCCCCGGCTGTTTAGCTCAGAGTAGCCCCAGAAGAGCAGGCGGAGTCAACCATGCCATCTTTGATGGCGGGGAAGAGAGCGGACGCGTCTCTCTCTCGGCGAGACAAGGCGGTGCCTGGGCGAGGAAGAGGAGGAAGAAGAAGACTCCATAGGGTGTCTCCTTCACAAGCTCTGGGTGTTCACCTCTTCCCCAACTCTTCCTCCTCCTCTTCCTCTCTCTCTCTCAATTTCTCTCCCCCTCTCTCTCCCCCTTTGTTTTTCTGCAGGGCATGCTGGTGGAAGGTGCGCCTGGCCCAGAAGGACCACCGGTAAGGGCTAAGGAGCTGGACGGTTCCTGGCGGGTGGCTGGGTGGGTGGAGGTCAGGAGAGCAGCGGCCAAATCCCACCCCCCTCAGTTGCTTCATCTTCGGACCTCCCCACCCATCATCCTCCGTGCATGACTGCCCCCTTTCTCTTGCAGGGTATCAGCGGGCCGCCAGGAACCCAGGGGCCTCCAGGACCTCCCGGGGATGCTGGGGAGAGGGTGAGTGCCAGAGGCAAGACCGCCTAGTGGACGGAGCCGGTTGGGGGGAAACGGGACCCTCTTGCTGCTTTCTTGAAGGAGAACAGCCTGGCCTTCCATGGGGAGGTTGCCGCACCTCCTCAAAATGGAGGATGGAAGAGGAGGACGGGTCGGATAAAAAGGGGCGTAGGATAATTCACATGCCTACTAGAGGCAGAATTAGAAGCGTTTTTTAAAAAAATCATGTCAATCGAACGACCACGTCTCTTAACCGAAGGAGGACAAGACCCAATGTCCGGAAGAGCTGGGGATGCCCTGGCTGAGCCGGTGGCCCGGATGCTCCTCCTCACGGTGGGTGGGGAATTCTGGAGGGGCGAGCAGAAATCTCCCATCCTTACGGCTCTCGCTCTGTGAATGATGCTTGGGCTGGACAGAGGACCGCACCCTTTGAACAGAGGACCGCCTACCCCAAAAGGGGATGTGTGGCCACCCTGCTTCCCTGTTGTGTGAATCCATCTGAACTCAGGTTGGTGCAGCCAGACCACTTTCTGGGGTGTGTGAAGGGACCAGGGCATCACCTGGAAGCTCTAACCCCCCCCCCACTCGCTCTGTGAATGATGCTTGGGCTGGACAGAGGACCGCACCCTTTGAACAGAGGACCGCCTACCCCAAAAGGGGATGTGTGGCCACCCTGCTTCCCTGTTGTGTGAATCCATCTGAACTCAGGTTGGTGCAGCCAGACCACTTTCTGGGGTGTGTGAAGGGACCAGGGCATCACCTGGAAGCTCTAACCCCCCCCCCACCCCAACCCCAACTCCTACCCAGTCTGTGGAGCCAGGTCGCAGTAACTCACTGCAGAGCGAAAAGAACTCTGCACATGGACAAAGTTCCCCCCCCCCTCCGGTCCTATCTTCCGAGGCTAAGTGTTTATACTAGGATTCCCAAAATCGCTGGTTGATGAGGAGACGTGGGCCTTGAAACCCAGAGGGAGGCCGATTCTGCAGTGAGAAGGATCCGGGCGGAGACGCTCAGCGGGGGCTCTGCTGCCTCCAGGCGGGGGTGAGCTGGGACTCAGTGCCTGCCTTCTCCTCCACAGGGCCCCCCCGGACGCCCCGGCCTTCCTGGGTCAGACGGTTCTCCGGGGCCCCCCGGCACCTCCATGATGCTTCCGGTGAGTCGGTGGGAGGCAGGGAGGCAGATGGCGATGCGGCTGCAGCCGCTGGATATTAGGGTCCTCCCAAATTTGGGTTTGGGGAGAGACGCAAAGGGCCACTGGTTTCCGAAGGGAGGATCCACAGCCCCCTTGTTTTCTGGGCTATCATTTGAGGTCCGTGTGGCAAGTTGCAGCTTTCCAGGATTTAACCAGACGGCCGTTTCCTGTGGCTCTAGCTGACAGAGGCCGAGATGAGAAGCGGAGGGCGTTGCATCCCAGGGGAGCATCCCGGGGGCTTCCCTTTAGCCACCCAAGCCGTGTGCTCTCCTTGGGAGCCTCTCCAAAGGGCCCCCATCTGTGGGGCAGCCCTCTGGCTTCCCAGATTTCTCCAGCGGCTGAGGGTAGTCCAGAATGACATCTGGCCTAGAATAAGAAGGGGCTGATGCTTGAGCTAAATTTGCAGGCTTCCCCCTTAGGGAGGGGGAGAACGGCAGGGTCGTTTCTCCAAAATAGGCAAATTGTGGGGATGAAATTAAAGAGAAGGTAAGAGGCAGAGGAAGAGGAGTGGTTCTTGACGACGGCACGGGCACTGGCCAATCAGCACTGTGAACAGCTAGGATTCTTTAAGGAGTGTGTGTTGTTTGTTGTCGTTTTGACTTGTATACCACCCCATAACTCTAAAGCACTCTCTGGGGGGTTTATGATTTAATTATGCAGGCTACACATTGCCCCTCCCCCTTCCCAAGTGAACTGGATACTCATTTTACCAACCAAAGAAGAATGAAAGGCTAATTTAACCTTGAGCTGGCTACCTGAATCTGGCGGCATCGAACTCAGGTTATGAGCGGAGGCTCAACTGCCATCCTGCAGTTTAACCACTGCTCCACAAAGCTCTTTTAAACACTTTGGGCATGTTTTGCCCAAAATCTGTGGAGTACATGTGACGGCATGGATTTTGGCCAATACATGTCCACAATATTTTCTTCCTTGATGAGAATGTTGAAAAGAACAGTATGTGGATTTATGTTCATTCTATTATTTATTTCTCTTTATTCACTCATTTTTTTGAAAAAAGTAAATATTTACTCTTGTAATATGAGTAGATGTACTGCATAATAACCCATTGTGTTGGTGCATGTACTGTATTGGGCCCCTCAAGTGATGGCCTGGATCACTTTGCCTAGTGATCTATGAAGGATGCTTTTCTGCTTTCTCTTGCACCTTTTGTTCCTCGACTGTGCGGGGAAGCCAGGAGGTGTTTTTTGATGGATGGGAACCTGGTCCTAAAAATCCCAGGCCGAAACAAATGGATTGGCCAGGCAGGCCTAATTATGATCAGGTGATCCTAAAAACTCTGAGATTTTTTGCATCCTTTTTTTTTGGGAAGGGTGGTTTTGCTTTTGGGAAGGGTGGGGTCCACACTGGAGACGACACCTCGCATGCTGGATTCTGCTTTGGCCCTCATCTGAAAGAGGCCGCAGGACCCTTCTGGGTGGAAATTTGCAAATTCCTTCCTTCGCCCCTCTATTAGACGGGTCCAGCCCAGTGGGAAGGGCAGCCAGAGGCGAGAAGCAAGCCATATCAAGCCATTCTCCGGCCGCAGCTCCTCCTGACTCTGCCCTCTGTCACAAGCAAACTTCAGCGATGGGTGTATAAACCAGGCATTGAAACCTCTGGAATAGATTCCTCTGATATTCACCTTCCNGTTCTCCGGCCGCAGCTCCTCCTGACTTTGCCCTCTGTCACAAGCGAACTTCAGCGACGGGTGTACAGTATAAACCAGGCATTGAAGCCTCTGGAATAGATTCCTCCAATATTCACCTTCCCAGAACTGGAGACCCCCCCTTTATTTTTTATTTTTTTCCCTGGGAGGCCCTTATTGGGAGATCCGCAGAGGTTCAGAGATTCAGGTGGGGTGCAGGTGGGGAGGTTTTTTCTCTCTTGCTCTCCGCCTCCCTTCGGTGGTCGGCCTTTGGAAGTGTTTACATAAAAGGCGGTTTCTTTTCCCAGGCTGTCAGTAGAAATGTTTTTTCCCCCCTGCTGCTTCTGAATGGCGACCTTTAGTGTCGCTGCTTCTCTGTTTCTTTTGCTGGCGGGGGCTTGTCGGTTGCATGAAAGGTGCTGAGAAGACAGAGAGATCATTTTCGATGGCTGTGTGCCTGGGTGAAAACACCAGGTAGGGGATCGCTGGCCTGGGAATGACCCGTCTGTCTTTTGGTGCTGATCGTATTTGTGTTCCAGCCTCACGGCACGAATCCTGCTCGGGGCACCCGAACAAAGTCGGCCTGCTGGCCCAAATCCTGTTCGTGGCGCCTGCAAGGATAATGCACAGTGTAACTTTGGGAAGTGACGTGGCTGGATCAGGTCGCGTAATTGCTGCAGGTGGTACCCCTAGTGACTTCGAGCGCAACCGATAATTTCTGCAGTTGTTCTTCCAGCCTGAGGCAAGGCACCATCGAAAGCCACGGCTTTTGTGCTTTGCCCAGTGTAAAATCCCAGCAGGATCTGGGCCCTTGAGGGGGTTTACACTGGTGTCGATTTTACCAACTCTGTGGATATCTTCTGTTGGCTTAAGGCTCAGTTTCTGTCTGGATGGGTGGCCCTGAAACCAATAAACAATTCCACTGGCTTTTAAATTTTTTTTAAATTCCACTTGATTTTTTTTTTAAATGTAAATTGGGCTAGAAATGCCTTCAGACAAGATGAAGAAGTTTTTTTCTAGAGTCTGGATGATGGTGCTTATATATGTTTTTAAAAATCCTGGCTGAATCCAGAGCAAAGAAGGGAGAGAGGGAGAGAGAGACTCTTGATTCTCAGGAAAGGACTGGGGTGGCAAATCAGTTCGACTGCAATATTGCAGCTAACACTCTGCTCGCAACCTGAGTTCGATCCCAGGTAACAACCGGCTGGAGGTTCACTCAGCCTTCTGTCTTCCTGAGGTTGGTAAATTGAGCGTCCAGATTGCAGTGGGAAGAGCGGGGGGAAGCCTGCGTTAATTAAATTATAAACCACCCGAAGGGTGCTTTTTAAGCCCTATGGGTTGGTCTGTAAGCAGCACATTTTGCTTTTGAATTGTTTTATGGAAGGCTTGGAAATGCCCGCTGGGGCCATTTCTCCCTGGCAGGCCCTTCCCAGCTAAGCCCACAAGCCACCCGGCCCCAGGGCATGGGCTCTTTGCCACCGGGGTGGTGGCGGTGCTGGCACGGGAGACGGGGACGCCATGTGAGGTGCACATGAAGGCACTTTCTAGACAGAGAAGGAAGACTTGAACCCCCCAACTCCCTGTTTCTCCCCTTCCAGTTCCGTTTCGGCAGCAGCGGAGGCGGCAAAGGACCGGTGGTGGCCGCCCAAGAAGCTCAAGCCCAGGCCTTCCTCCAGCAAGCCCGAGTGAGTTGGGGGTGTGGAGGTGTGTGTGTGTGGAGAAGAGACAGAGTGAGATGGGGATGGGGGTGGCATGCATGAAAGGAAAGGGGGTGTTAGGAAAGGAAGCATAAAACTCAGGGAGAAGGGCTTCGACAGAGAAGGAAGACTTGAACCCCCCAACTCCCTGTTTCTCCCCTTCCAGTTCCGTTTCGGCAGCAGCGGAGGCGGCAAAGGACCGGTGGTGGCCGCCCAAGAAGCTCAAGCCCAGGCCTTCCTCCAGCAAGCCCGAGTGAGTTGGGGGTGTGGAGGTGTGTGTGTGTGGAGAAGAGACAGAGTGAGATGGGGATGGGGGTGGCATGCATGAAAGGAAAGGGGGTGTTAGGAAAGGAAGCATAAAACTCAGGGAGAAGGGCTTCGAGCTCCTCAAAGTTCCTTAAACCATTACATAAATGAAAATAATAAATATATAGATGCATAAAACATGCTGGCTTCATTCATTCATTCATTCATTCATTCATTCATTCATTCGTTCTTCCATCCATCCATCCATCCATCCATCCATCCATCCATCCATCCATCCATCCATCCATCCATCCATCCATCCATCCATCCATCCATCCATCCTAATCTTAGAACTGTAGATCTGATTCTGGTTGTATGTATGTACATACCCTGTTTCGCTGATAATAAGAAAGGGTCTTATATCAATTTTTGCTCCAAAAAACGCATTAGGGCTTATTTTCAGGGGATGTTTTATTTTTTGTCATGTACAACCATCTACATTGCTTCAGATCCAGTCATGTTATCTTTTGGTGGCTGCACAAAGGTGGAGGGCAGGGTTTCACTTCACTGGGTCTTATTTTTAGAGTAGGGCTTATATTACGAGCATCCTGAAAAATCCTACTAGGGCTTATTTTCAGGGTAGGTCTTATTTTAAATGCCAGGGGGAATGACCTTCCCGGATCTGTCCTGTTGCTTTCAGAGGAGCTGGAGAATATTTTGCAGCTGGACTTTGGGGGTCAAACCAGTAACAGCCTGGTGGCTCCAGTGTCATGGGGAATTCAACATGTTTTTAACACTAAGAGAAAGGTGGAACAAAAAGGAGATTACCGGAGCTGTCCAAGCTGAATTACAGGAGCTGTCCAAGGCTTAAAACTCCATCCCCACCCTCAGATTAGGTCTAATATCTTAGATACAGCTCCTGAAAAGTTCGGATCAAAACCTGGAATGGATTGCGTGCCCTCCACCATAGCCGCAGTGTCACCTCAGTCTCGGCTTACTCTGTGTTCTGGTGGCTGAGACACGGCGGCACAGGGAAAACACGCCGAGATGCTTCCAGGTGACCTGCGCCGGCGTTTAACCCTGCCCCTCTTTCTTGACTCTACAGATGGCCTTGCGTGGCCCTCCGGGACCGATGGGGTACACAGGCCGGACGGGACCCTTGGTGAGTGTGTTTGCCTCTGGAAACCCTGAGGAGGGGGGGAGCAGGATCCGTGTGTGTGCGTGGGTGTGCGTGCAGGTGTATCTTGGTGGTTTACACCACGAGTTGTGTGTGTGTGGGGGTGGAATTCCTTTTTTTTTTGGAATGAAAATGCCAGAATCTCTCAGCTAGCCTGGAGTTATAGCTATAGTTTCTCCCTTCCTAAGTTTTACAACACCCAACCTGAGCAAAGTTTCTCAAGAAATCCAGAAAGAAATCCTCAAGAAATCTCCAGAAATCCTCTTTCTGTGGTGGTGGGAAGGCATGGGGCTGGATAATTGGGTCGCCCAGTGATTATGTACGTCTGAAAGAGTTTTTAAGGCATTTTTAAAATGGTCTTAACTAATTATTTTAATACTACTGTATAATTTAATTTTTTTTAAATGCAATGGTTCAACATGTTTTTAACACTGCGAGAAAGGTGGAACAAAAATGAGATGAAATGAAATAAAGAATACGACCCCACTCAACTTTCTTTTGATCCAAACCTTTTTAAAACTTGGCTTTGCCTGTCTGAGTGTCCGTTTCTCTTGCCCTTCTGTGTTAGTTAATCCAATGGATTTCCACATTGCAGTGGTTATTCCTGTTTTTAAACATGGCAGGACCAGCCTTCTATAGGTGCGACTGCATATTGTCTAATTCCCTCAATTTGTGCATTGATTAAATCCCAGGAGAAGCGAGAGGAACTCCCTTTCTAGTCCTGAGAGATGCCCATCATTGTTGCAGAATTTTGAATTTCTGTTAGTTACAAGCTCAATAACTCACTCTGAGGCATTTGTAAGAAGAAAGAACAAAAGGTTGCAGTCCAAAACTTGCAAACACGACTGCTTTCAGCAACAGACTCGCTGCTTTTCAACAGAGAGGGAAAAAGCTCTCCGCAGAGAGGCAGGGCACTCTATTAAATCATGGGCAGGGAAGGAACGATTGGTTAATGCTGGATAGATTGACAGCCCCTCCCCCAGGAAGGTCCCTCCCAGCCAAACGAACAAACTACAGGCAGCATGTGAGGTTGTAAAACAAACTACAGGCAGTATGTGAGGTTGTAAAGCTCCAGCCATCGTGTGCCCTGTGGTCATGCCCACCCTGCCCAAAATGAAAAAAGTGTCACCTTCCAGGTCCCTTAACCAACCGCCACCATCTCTTTCTCTTTCAGGGGGAACCTGGCAGTTCTGGGATGAAGGGAGAGCAAGGAGACTTTGGTCCGCAGGTGAGGTGACCTTTGACCTTGGGCGACAGGTGCCCGTGACCCCCCCTCCAAAGGCCCCGTCTTCCCCTTCCGCACAACTGACCCTCTCATGCTTCTCACATTGTGAATTTAGACCCTTTAGTTCCGACTCGGGGGAATCGCTCCCCTGCCGAGATCAGCTTAGAGGGGTTGGGGGGGGCACAGCTCCAGCTCTCCCCCCTCCCATTCCTGTGGATCCTTCTGACGTCCCCTGCTGTGGATCACAGTGCCATGAGCAGGAGAGACCACCTTCCATGGATCTCCAGGAGGTTGTCCTGAGACTTGAACCCCTCCCTTTTGGCAGACGGGGGAAATCTCTTATCTCTCGCCAGCAGATGATCGGAGCTAAGAGATTTCCCTCTGGTGCCAATGGAAGCTTAACTATCATCGTGGGGTGAGTGGGTGGGCGGGAAGTTGCTGTTGAAGGGCTAATTCTCTTCCTTTCGAACATTGCAACCCCGTGTAAACATTTGAAAGAGAGGGAATTAGCCTTCCCCATAAGAACACCCCCCCTCTCCTGCACTGCTGGCCATTTTCTTAAAGTCTCATTTCACCAAACAAAATGAAACAAAACAACGTTCAGTGTGTTTTATGTGAGTGTGCTGAAGTTTGCCTATCTTGTGTGTATATACACAAGAAAAGAGTGTGCCACGGGTGCGAGTGAGCGTCAGTGGTGGGTCCTTCCTCCCCAATCTGGCTCCTGATTGAGGCTCTTTTTCTCTCTCCTTCCAGGGACCTCGTGGGCCACCAGGACTGACCGGGCCCCCCGGGAAGCCTGGACGCAGAGTAAGTGGTCTTTCTTGAGCTCGCAGGGCAATGGCTCCGACGGGGTGGGGTGGGAGTGATGGAGGGGGAAGAGAGATCCAGACAGCAAAACAATAAGATCTTTAAAAGCTTGTGTTACGTCGGTCAAAACAGTAAGAACTCGTCTAGATATGGGAAAGATAACGAACGGGCTAGCGGCAAGGATGACGAGCTTCACCTCTCTCTCCCCCCCCCCTTTCTGTGCCCCACAGGGTCGTGCGGGAGCTGATGGGGCCCGAGGTATGCCAGGGGAATCTGGCTCCAAGGTAAGATAGGACCTCCAAGCAGAAGGGGGTTTCATGAGGGCGAGCACCCCACATGATCACCGTGGGGTTTGCTGTCCTGAATATACTGAGGGCAGGAGGGGGGGGGGGTTATTGCCCGCCCTAAAATGTCTGCAGTGTCCAGTTGTGAGGCTTTTGGTTATAATTTTTGCACTGAGTTTTCTACACCATTTTATGTGCATCTTTCATAACCCGGGTGGTTCGTGTCCGGCTTTTGCTTTCCTGCCTTCTCTCTGTTCTGTAAACAAGGCATTACAAATATTTGAACATACTGTAATTAAATCCGCTCTCGTACTGAAACAAACAAACAAACAAAAAACCCAGGCGAGGCTCATTGTAGAATAAACCTCCCTGCAGTGAACGGTGGAAAGATCCCTTTAAAGGGAGTCAGGCATTAGCCGAAGGTCTGTCCCTTGAAGAATTGTGTCCCCCCCCCGTTGGTGGCCTTTAAGGTCTTGGCCTTTCAAAAAGGTGTCCATTGTTCAGGGGGGGGGCACTTTGTTCCTCCAGAAGGGCAGCCCAACCTCGCAAGCATGCTGGTGTGTGGAAAGAGGGCGAGTTTCGTCTCTCGCAGACTCCTGGAATTGGTGCAAAAATGACCACTTTTTATTAAAATCAAGCCCATACGGAGCCCCATGGAATGATTTTCAGTTGTGCGTCACAGTTCCGGCACCCTCGTCAAGCGCTCCCCCAAGATTTTTCTATCATTTTCTTCCCTCTTGCTTTCTTGTTTCCCCCACAGGGTGAACGTGGGTTTGACGGACTCCCTGGCCTTCCCGGAGAGAAAGGACACCGGGTGAGTGATAGTGTGTGTGTGCGTGCGTGTGTGTGTGTTTGTGTATGTGTGTGTGTGTGTTTGTGTGTGTGAAAGCCTAGGGGTCACAGCAGGAAGGCAGAGCGTAAGACCTCAACATTGATCCCGTCTCGTGGAACAAATTGTGTTCAACTCTTTGCCCGAATAATACTGAGGAGAGGAGCTGGTTTCAAAATCCTTCCTCAGTGTCTCCTGGCCCTTGTGTTAGCTACGCGGCACACAGAAGTTCAACAGAGGGAGCATTTCTGTCTTCCCGAGTGCACCTGCTGAACATCCACATCTCCAGAATCCAAAATCCTATCGCAATATCAAGAAAAACTTCTTAACTGTTCGAGCGGTATAACGACGGAACCCGTCGGCCTCGGGTCATGGTGGTGAGCGTGGCAACGTTGGAGGCCTTCAAGAGAAAAACAGACAGCTGTCTCTCAGATCTGCTTTGATGGGGATTCCTGCTTTCAGCGGGGCCGGGGGGCCGGGGGGGCGGGTTGGACCCGAGTCGATGATTCTGTGATTTAGTGACAGATTTTGCTTCCCTCCCTTCGGAAAAATGACAGTTCCTGGGTTTCTCTGAAGGAAAGATGGAGGGGTGGGTGGGCTTTGAAAAGTGCACCAGGCTTTCAGCCCTTCGGAAAAACGACAGTTCCCGGATTTTTCTGAAGGAAGGATGGAGGGATGGGTGGGCTTTGAAAAGTGCACCAGGCTTGCAGGGTAGGCCTAGCCACCTATCCCCTCTGTGTGTGTGTGTGTGTGTGTGTGTGTATGTGTGTGTGTGTTTCACATCCCAGGTTTGACCAAACAGCCTTAATATCTCTCTGCTCCTTCCCACCATGCAGGGTGACTCCGGCTCTCAAGGCCTGGCAGGTCCTCCCGGGGAAGACGGTGAGAGGGTAAGTGCCAGTTGATGGCAAAGAGGTTAGGATGCGGGGCCAGGGCGGGCCTTATCCCTGCTCCCCACCTTTTGGGACACCTGTGAGGCGCACAACAAGTCACCGCAACTCGACTTCCTGTTTCCTAAGTCCAGGCGACTCTGAAAACGCTCTTCCTTCCCCTGCTTCTCCTCTGAGGAGGTCCCTTCCGACAAGAGGTGTCCAACGTTCTTTTTTTTAACCTTACTCGTAAGCCTTCAGAGTGGGTGTCACTGTTCGCTTGTTAGAAGGTCAGCACAAAAACTCGGTGACCGAGAGCCCCCCCCCCAGTGATGACACTTCTCTTTTCTCCACCTGCAGGGAGATGATGGCGAAGTGGGTCAACGTGGACTTCCTGGAGAACCAGTACGTAGCAGCCACACACACACACCCCGCTTGCCTGCAGGGAAACAGAGAGACCCTTGGCAGTGGGGCAGAGCCCAGGATGCTGTGCATCCCCCCCCCGCATGCCCCACTGGTTTCTGAGCTTTCCAAAAGCTCCCAGCCCTGTTCTCCCCACCCCATAAATTAAGGAAACCAGCAGGATGTGCCCCTTCCAGGTGGGAGCATCCTGGATGCTGAAGTGGTACAGTCCTGCTGTATTTGTGGGGGACACACACACACAAACACATGATTTCTCTTCTTTCATAGTGATTTGGTTCCTTGTGCTCTGGGTGCTTTGTGAGGGTGGCATATGGGGGTGGGAGCGATCCTGCTTGCCTCCGGGTGCTCCCACCTGTCCATCTGTCTGTCCATCATCACTCCGGGGCTTTGTGGCAGCACCTTGTGCGCCCCCCACAACTATTTGGGTCCAGAAAGATAGATTTGCTCTCTGGCCAAGCCTTAAAAGCCGTGTATGTGTGTGTGTGTGTGTGTGTTGACTTGCCTCTGCTTCTCTCTCCTCCTCCTTCCAGGGACCGAGAGGTTTGCTCGGCCCTAAAGGCCCTCCGGGGATCCCAGGCCCGCCGGTAAGTGCTGGGGAGGGGGGTCCCCCTGTAACACAGAGTGACCATTCACCCCATACACCCCAACCCACAGAGCTGTGCCGCTAATTCCCCCCCCCCCCGTTTGTCTGTCTGTCCTCTTGGCAGGGAGTGCGTGGCATGGACGGGCCGCACGGGCCAAAGGGGAACCTGGTGAGTAGCCACTTGGGGGGGGAGGGAGACTCTCCTTGGAGCGTGGGGGGGACCTCCCCTCCCCTCCCCCCTAGAGGTGCAGGGACCTCTCTATTGTGTTAGATATGGAGGTAAATGCCAGCTTTTCACAGCATTGCATGTACATCAGGGGGTCATTTATTTAAAACCTCCCACAGAAAAGGCTGCTCTGGGGAAAAAAATTTGAACCCGAGTCTCCCTTCCTTTCCGGTTTCGTCTGAGCGAGGGGGGCACCTGTGAGGTCAGTTCAGGGCCCATTTAATCCGGGCTCAGGCTTGGTTTTTGAAGGAGTCCCCCAGAACCGCAGAATGGTAGAGCGGAGAGGGAACCCCCGAGGTCATCCATCTGACCCCGTCCCCCTGCAGGAAAGTCGTGGCTAAAGCATCCCCAGCGGTGCTTGTGGTCCAGCCTCTGTTGAACCGCCGCCCTTCCCAAACGCCACTCTGGTCGGAGGCCTTCGAATCCCCCCTCCCCACTTTTCTCAGAATCACAATCTCCGTGATCCCCCCCAACCAATTCTCCCCCCCCACACACAAAGGACATACATGTCCCCAATGGGGACATACGTGTCTTGTCTCTCCTCTTGCGGCCCCGACTAAATTCACCCAGGGGTTGTTGCTGGAAGGCAGGGGTCAGCCGTGGGGGGGTCTCATGGGGAGACAGACACAGAGTGGTAGAACAAAAGGCCTCTGCCTGAAGGTGCACAGCCTCCCCCCCCATGCTGCAGGCCCCGAGTTCAGATCCGTGGCTGTGAACTGGGCTCACCCCATGGAAAGGCAGGCCAAGCCTTTCAGAGCCCCAGTGGCCAAAGGGTGGGCAGGGGTCTTGCTGCTGTTCTGCCCCCCCCCCCCACTCCAGGGCTTTGGAGGCGCTCCGCTTCTGAGTAGAGCCGCCTCACCGCTCCTGTTTTGCTTCCCACCAGGGTCCGCAAGGGGAGCCCGGACCCCCTGGCCAGCAGGGAACGCCAGGAACACAGGTAGGTGGAAAGAGAAGCAGAGAAGGAGGGCGGTGGCAGCTGCAGATTGGGCCAGGAAGGGTCTTTTCGTGAGCCCACCCACCCAACCCGCCTTGCTCAGGTAGGTGGAAAGAGAAGCAGAGAAGCAGGGTGGCAGCAGCTGTAGGTTGGGCCAGGAAGGGTCTTTTCATGAGCCCACCCACCCAACCCACCTTGCAGTGGCCACACAAGTGCTTCTGGAAAGGCCGCCCCCCCAAAAAAGGGGAAGGGAGGCAGCCTCTCCCTTCCCATGCAGCTGCGTCTTGTGATTTAGCAGGCAGACTGCTCCTGGACAGAGAGGCTCTCTATCCCCACTGCCAGGCAGACCACTACAAACCCACACAAATTCTTAGCTGCCTCCCCCCACTCGCAACCTGATCAGAGCAGGCAACGCAGGTTGCTCCTGGCAGGCGAGCAGTGACCCCGGGGGAGAGCGAGGGGGGGTGTTGCTGTGCCGCTAAGCATCTCCAGGTCTGGGCAAAGAAACGGGCGGAGGCTAGAGGTACTCCCAAATATTGGAAATAGGGGTGCATTTGTCGTGTCCATGCAACAAAAGGGTCTAAAAGTTCATTGATGAGATGTCTGCCCAGGACAGGTTCGTTTCCGTCTTCCCCTGGTGGTTATTGTGTTGTTTTCCCCCAAAAAACAGGGGCTGCCTGGACCTCAAGGAGCCATGGGCCCTCCTGGCGAAAGGGTGAGTGGTTGGCTGATCTCGTCTTGCGGCCCCCTAACGGGGTCCCAAGAGGCTTGAGAACAAGGCCTGCTTTGACGGTTTTTTATATTACAGTGGTGCCTCGCTAGACAACGTTAATGTGTTCCAGCGAAATCGTCGTCAAGCGAAAGTAAAAAGCCCATTAGAATACATTGGAAACTGGTTAATGCATTCTAATGGGCGAAATACCTCACCGTAAAGCGAAGATCCTCCATAGGGCAACCAATTTCTGCTCCCTGTAGAGTGAAGAATCCGTTCCTAACACAGCGGGGAGCCATTTTGCACAGCAGGTGGCCATTTTGGAAACCTGACGATCAGCTGTTTTGATCATCATTAAGTGAAAAATCGGTTCCCGAAGTAGGGAACCGATCATCGTAAAGCGGATTTTCCCCATAGACACATTGTTTTGCGATTGCAATAGCAATCACAAAAACCGCATCGTACAGCAGATTCATCATACAACAAGGTAATCAAGCGGGGCACCACTGTACAAGATTGGCTAACCGGCTTATTCCTTTAGTGTAAACTGCCTGGAGTAGCGTCCACCATTAATTGGGTGGTATACAACCAACCAACCCCCCCACCCCCCTCTCTTTTCTGTTCTCCTAGGGTCCTCGAGGGAAACCTGGACTTCCAGGGATGCCTGGCTCTGACGGACCCCCGGTGAGTACTGAGCCCTCTGTCTCCCCCACCCCCAGGACTTCCCTGGATCAATTCCCCAGGGTTGCCTGAAAGGGTAATTTTGAACCAGACTCAGTGGGAAGTAACTGGCAGTCATTTCTTTGGCTTTTCCTGGAGAGCCACCTCCAGGTCTTCTTTCCTGTCCCGTGGACTGCCTTCCCCGGCTGGTATTCCCAGTTCAAGAGGAAGGGAAGCCACGTCCGTCTGTAAGCGCCACCACCAGCCCCACGACGTGATTCTCCTCCCTCTGCCCTCTCTTGCCAGGAAGCCACTCGTGAATCCACATAAGTGCCCGGTTGATAAAATGGCACTGAATGAACGGGCCGCTGTTAGATTTCCTGTATCTGCTGCACAACGCCCTGGAATATTTTCTCTTTCGAAGCAGCCATACGCTAAGGGGGGGGGGGGGGGGAACAAGGCCTGTCATAATTACCTGGCCTTATTCGATCTTCAGAGGCTAGAATCATAGAATAACGGAGTTGAAAGGAGGCTATAAAGCCATCGAGTCCACAAGGCAGAGATCCAGATAAACCCAGATGTGCCAAGTGGTTTTCTAAATTTTTTTCTTGTATCCCTCCGGCGTTGAAGCAGACACCCCACCTTACTGAAGTCATGGATTCCACCGCTGTACTGCTCTAACAGTTAGGAAGTTTTTCCTGATGTTCTGCCTAAATCTGGCTTCCTATAACTTGAGTCCATGATTACATGTCCTGCATGCTAGGATGGATTGTGGACAGACCCTTCCCCACCTCTGTGTAGCAACTTTTCAGATGTTTGAAGAGCGGTATCCTCTCTCCCAAGGCTCAGCAGGCCCAGTTCTTTCAGCCTTTCCTCCTCATAGGGCTTGGCTTCCAGCCCCCTGATCATCCTCCCAGCCGCCCTCCTCTGAACTTGTTCCAATTTATTAGCTTCCTTCTCAAAATGCAGTGTCCAGAACTGGACACAGTAAACAAGATGAAGCTTAAACAGCGTCGAATGGAAGGGGAACTAGCCCCTCGTGGGATTTGAAGACTTCTGTTAATGCAGCCTAAAAATCACCATTTTCCTTTTACCTAATTACCTGTGTTAGTAATTGTGTGTTAGTTATTGATTGACACGGGGACTCAGTGTTTTGGGCATCATCCTGATTGGCTGCTTTAAACAGGTGGCGGGCTGCTTTCGTGATCTAGCTGGCGGCCGTATATGGCGGTCACATATTTGGTCGCCCTGTGAAACAGGAAATGTGCACATCTCAGATACCTGGGCCCCGTATTATGGACACAAGCATTTGTATTAAAGAAGCACGTTGCTGTCCTATATTGGGTCACCCTATTGAACAGAGCACAGCGGCTCCCAGGTCCCTGGTTAGACACGTTAAAGGGGACGAGAGATGCAGTCGTACACCAAACAACAACAACAACAACAACAACAGGAAGTGGGGTACAATCACATTATCCAGATCCCTCTCTTCCACACCTACGGCATGCCCCAGCTGAGTTCAAGACTCCTTTTTTGGGTCATTATTACACCTGGTCCAGAACTTCCGGATCGCACCACGGTTTTTGGCGTCTGGCTGCAGAGCCAGAAGTTGGGAGTTCGATTCCCCCACCGGGCCACCTTGAGAGGGGGGCTGGACTGGATGATCTTGAGGGTCCCTTCCAGCTTGATGAGGATGGCTTTGTCTGCGTAACCTGTCCTCACACCTTCGGCGGAAGGTGCTTTCAGCCCACGGGGATCCAGGAGTATGAAAAAAAGAGAGGAGGCTGCTCCTCGTATGTAGACGTAACCCTGGGAAATGGGGCTGTTGTGGCCAATGGGACTCCCTGTGTGAGTCCCGCAAGAGCGGGCCGTTGGGTCTGAGGTTTGGGGCCTGAAATCTCAGGCAATGCAGGTGCTACAGGTCTGGCGAACGCTCTCCACCCACCTTTTCTTCTGCTGAAATCTCGGATCCAGAAGCACCCCTGAACACTGAAATTTAAAAAGTCGGTGGAATTAACCTGGCTTCCTTCCTTTCCCCCTTTTCTTTCCTGTCTTCCACTTTCTTAGGGCCACCCTGGCAAAGAGGGTCATCCTGGTACCAAAGGAAATCAGGTGAGTGGGACCCCTTTTTTTGGACTCCAATTTTTAAAAGGGGGAAAGAAGCTTAACCTTCAAGATCCACTGAAATCCAACCTCTATTTCACAGACAAGTTTCTTTTTTTACAATTTCATCAGTACCGATCTGCGTGCTATACCGTTTCCAGCCACTTGGTGGCAGGAGAGAGTAACACATGACCAGACCTCTGCAACTCCCTCTTCTATCCATTAGGGGGCAGCACAGCAACACATGAACCACAAACACAACGGGTGCACCCCCAAATGGCATAGATAGAAGAGTGGTGTGACAAAACTCTGGCATCAGATGCAAAACACACACATGCAATATTGTCCAGAGGAACTCCTTACGGATTGAATACATGTACCAGTTGAATTTCTGCCTGATAGGACCGAGAGTGATGCCAGGGAGCCAATAATGGAGTCTTCGGCCTTTCTCTTCCTTGTGTTTCTGAATTTATTTTCCTCTTTGTGTGTGTGTGTGTGTGTGTGTGTGTGTGTGTGTGTGTGTGTGTGTGTGTGTGTGTGTGTGTGTGTGTGTGTGTGTGTGTGTGTGTGTGTGTGTGTGTGTG